AATTTTTAGACATATTCATGCGAAAATGTGCCAAAAATCATCAAAATACCGAATATCGGGAAATACGGCTGTATAGGGCTATACAAAAACGTGGACATATACATACAGTGTTTCGCCAAAAGAGCTAGAACCCATTATGACCTACAAATACCAATTTTCAGCAAAATCCGTGAAAAAATTTGTCAAAATACCGAATATCGGGAGGTACCGTTATATGGGACTATACCAAAACGTGGACCTATAATTACAATGACTCGCCACTCGAACTGGGACCCATTATGACCTACAACTACCAATTTTCAGACAAGTCAGTGAACAAATGTGGCAAAAACCATCTAAATACCGAATATCGGGAGGTATCTTTATATGGGGGATATACCAAATCGTGAACCCATACATGCAATGTTTCGCCACGGGAGCTAGAACCCATTATGACCAACAAATACTAATTTTTAGACAAATCCGTGAAAAAAATGTGGCAAAAATAATCAATATACCGAATATCGGGAGGTACCTTTTTATGGGGTCTGTACCAAAACGTGGACCGATATATCTCATTTTCAATACCAACCATCCTAGACACAATACAAATTGCTCTGCTAAATTTTGGCATTCTACGTCAAATAATAGGTGTGTCTGGTTACCCTAAAATTTGTAACAATTGTGACAAATTGTTACTGGAAGTCGTCTGTTAACCCGAAAGTTCTGCAAAAGAGAGCGGTTGGAGAGAGAAATTTTGACAGTTCTTTCAGTGAGAGTTTTCAATTGCAATCACTTGCAACTCTTTTTCTTCTCATTTATCGACATTCAATCAGATGTTTTCCATCGTTTGTTTATTTATTTTTGTGGTTTTAATTTGAAAATATTTTTTTGGAATTTGAAAGACTAATTGTTTTTGGAGAACAACTTTAAAAATGTGGAAAACGTAAATATTAATATGTAATAAGGAAATAAAAGACAATTTCCCACATTTTTAGACAATCGCCATTCTTTTAATGGGGGACAAATTGGTTTGTTTTGACAAAACAGCTGATTAGTTGTAAGCTTCTACAGGAATACCGCATTTTCCTTGCAAAAGAGAATAAAACTACCTAACTCTCTCAGAAAGATGTTGCTGGACAATTCCTGCAGGAAAAGTAACCAGACGTGATTTCAACAGACAGACGGACATCATTAAATCGACTTAGAATTTTATGCTGATTATGAATATATATATACTTTATGTAGTCTACGACGAATATTTAAGGATGTTACAAACGGAATGACAAAGTTAATGTACCCTCCTTTCCAAGGGGGAGGGTATAAAAATACGATATGTGTTACTCACTTCGGTCAATATGAGATTTTTTCCAAAATGTTCAACTTTTGTAGGTGAGCTACTAGAAGGAGTGGACTGATATTATCCATCTCTTAAACAGATTAAAAGAAACCCCTGAATTATTCTAGTCAACACTTACCGAAAATTCGCTACGAAACATGAAATGCTTTCCTCTCTCTCTTCACACATTCAGTCTAAACATGTATCACATCAACGGCATCAACAAGTAACACCTTTTGTTTCTGTGTGACGATGCACATGCACCATTGTTTCTAAAAAAGAATGCAAACGATACCATTCATTATGTGAAATCGTATCTGGCCATTTATCAGCGAACCAATCTTAAAATGCAAAAATTTTTCCAAAATCATAATTTGAGTTGTGTTATTTTTGATTATTCTTGTCTGACATTTTTTCGCTCCTTTCAATTATTTTTTGGGCATTCCTTTGGTGGGAAATGCACAGGATGTGAGATCTCAAACTGATTTGAGTTTATTCTTGCATTCATCGAAATATGTGATATGTGTGTGTTTGTGTTTGATAAAGATTATGTTTAAACTCTTTGTATTAAAAGGACACATACTTACACATCAGGGTATCCTTGTTTGTGCAGTTCATTAACTTCCTTTGGCCACCACAACCAGCAGCAACAACACCATTAAATGTTGTTGTATTTGCAATAAGTATTTAAAGGAATTGAAGTCTTGAATGGAATGCCTTCAAAATTTTGAGTAGCAGCAAACAATCCCACCACCCTTTTTACCACCTTTTGCATTTTTTGCCGATACAGGATTTCGTACATTGTTGTGTTGAATGCAAATTTTTGTGGTTCCTTTTTCTTAATTTTTGGCAATTTGACAGAAATGATGTTTGCAGTAAAAGCTTTCAATGAAACGATTCCATGGGAATTTTCGTAGACAATTGTTTGAGCTACAATGGATCCGCTGACAGTTTTGACGGCTGAAACATGCACCCTATATTAATGTGCAATTACTTGTCTGGTTGTGTTGTGGTATCAAATGAGACGTTGTATGTGTCGACAATGCAGGCAGACAGGCACACCACCACTGAGAGAAATATTCTGGGATTTGATTTCAAAAAGTGTGACGAAAATTTAGTTCAAGTATTCCACATTTTGCAAAAAGGTTCAGACAACAGGTGGACTCAGAAAATCAAGTCTCAGAAATATCATAGTAAATCCTCTTGAAGTTTAACCCTCCAAAAAAGTTGTAATATAATTTAAACCTAAAAAGTGGGCTACCAAAGCTATAATCCCCCATTTTTAAATTATTTATAAAATCGCCACATCTATAGTAGTGGACTTCTACCAGACTTATACAGACAATAGACCTAAAAAAACGTGGATTTTGCAGATTTTTACAATCGAATGTAAAATCAATAATCGCGGATCTTGAAGGGACCATAAAAACCATAATCGTACCTCTAGGTCTATAAAATCGTGAATTATTTAAAAGACCTTTAGACCTACAAAATCTTCGATTATTTAAAACATCTTTAAAATCTTGGATTATTTAAAGGGTCCCTTGAATTATGAAATCGTGGATTACATAAAAGTCCTCTAGATCTATGAAATCACCAGTTATTTAAAGGGTCTCTGCATCCTAGAAGTCCTGGAAATTTTCTGAGATACAAGATCAATATATCGGACCACTCTTTATATTACGTCCCACACAAGATGCCAACACTTTTTAAAAGTCAAGTGTCATAAAATGACTTTGCACAATGCAGTAGCTTCATCTACATTGGTTCTAGTGTGAATATGGAACTCATCGGCTATTCTTCTAGGTACCTCCCCACAAAGGGTAAAATAATACTATTTTTATAAGACATAAATGTTATTATACCCTCCACCATAGTATGGAGGGTATATTAAGTTTGCCATTCCATTTGTAACACCTCGAAATATACTTTTTAGACCCCACAAAGTATATATATATATTCTTGATAAGCTTAAAATTCCAAGCCGATTTAGCGTCCGTCCGCCTGTCCGTCTGTGAAAATCACTCTAGCTTCCGAACGAAATGAAGTAGGTTGATAAAATTTTACTCAAATGTATATTATGTCTGCAGGACTTTTGGTATTGAAAATGGGCCATGCAGGTCCACGTTTTGGTATAGCCCTTATATAACGGTACCTCCCGATATTCGGTATTTTCATGATTTTAGCGACATTATTCACCGTAAATGTTTCAAATTTGGTATTTTAAATACCTGATAGATTCTTCAACCTAAGGCAGAAGATTGTCTGTGCAGGTCCATGTCTTCTTATAACTCCCATATAACGCTACCTCCCCATATTCGGTATTTTGATGATTTTAGCGACACTATTCACCGGAATTGTTTCAAATTTGGTATTTGAAGTTCGTAATGGATACTACAGCCTAAGACAGAAAATAGTCTGTGCAGGTACACGCCTTCGTATAGCCCCCATATAACGGTACCTCCCGATATTCGGTATTTTGATGATTTTAGCGACATTATTCACTGGAATGGTTTCAAAATTGATAATTGATGTTCGTAATGGATACTACAGCCTATGACAGTTCGTGCTAGGCTCAAAATGCACAATTTGTCAAAACATTATTCATCGTACTACACTTGCGGACTTTCAAGGTTTTACATATTATTCAAGTTTTCCTTTTCCCGAAAGAATAATAGGAACATGATTACCTTTTACGCCAAAAAGTCTTCAAGCTTACCGAGGAGGTTATTTAGAAACAAACAGTGACATCAAAATCAAATTTCAAAATTATCCCCTACACCCAATACCAAATTTAGTACTTTTCGCACAACTATAGTACACATTTCCAAACCCACCTCCAAATCGAAACCCTCAGATAAATATTCAATTTCAAAATTTTATTCCTATACCTTCAACCAAATTTGGTACCATTTAGAACAATTGTAGAACAATTTAGTCCAGTTCGCACACTTAGTACACATCCATTGATGACTCTCATTCCAATTCTATTCGATATCATTCCGTTTGTCCAATACAAAGTATTCAATTGTTAGTGCTTTTTCATAAGGTACCTTCCCCATATAGGGTCAACATATTGAACTTAAGCGGACGTAGTCTATGGAAATACATCTTTCGGCAAAACCGACAAACACAGCACAAACTAAACTAAGATGCGCCTTTTATGCACTTCAGTGCACTTAAGTAGAGACTGAATAAGAACAAGTTAAAAAGCAATAAGTTCGGCCGGGCCGAACTTTGAATACCCTCCACCATTTAGAATGATTTTGGAATTTTTCAAAAAATAAAATCCGTTAAAAATTCTGGTAAAATCTTTAAAATACCGAATATAGCAGTTGTATTGGGTTCTATACGACGTGGACCCACATAGGCATTGTTTGTCATAAGCCATTACCATATTCAAATTCGAAACTTGAAATAAACGGTAAATAATGTAGCTAAAATCACAGGCTGTAGCATCCATTACGAACTTCAAATACGACATCTCAAACAATTTCGGTGAGTATTGTACCTAAAATCGTCAAAATACCGAATACAGGGCGGTACTGATATATGGTGCGTATACTTTTTGTGTGGTTGTTCGTCTTTATTTTATTACAAAAATATATTTTATTTAGAAAAATATTGTAAAACTTATATTTGCAAAATATCAAGTATTTTTAAAAGAACACACATTTTCAAATCCGATTAATTTTACTATATTACAATCATGGATTACAATAAATATAATCAAACAGTGAACTTAAATATCTATAATTACAAATACTTCATAATTATTCTTTTCAGGCTCTTGTATAACTTGCATGGCAGAGTAGGTGATTGCTTTAACTTCTGTGCCTTGGGGATGTTTATCCAAATCGAATGGTTCTCCATAGCATTTGCATTCGATTTCAAAGTTTTCTAAATCGAATTTGGTTATCTCCAAACGTCTACAAATCAGGAAAGGTTCGGCTGAGAACAAGAACAACAATTCATCAAGGAAATGGAAAAGCAGTCCTTCGACATCATCACCTTTGGCTTCGATTTGGTAGCAGGTTTCCACAGAAACATAATCCAATTCAGTCATGTAGCCAAACATGGCCATGCCGCATTGTTCAAATGCCTCTTGCAGAGTTTCTCCCCAGGCATGGAGTCTAGAATGGGAAAAGATAGAAATATAAGTATTGTAGCAAAACTTTGTGATGAAATTGTCTTGCTAACTTACTGTACATCGGCAGTGTGATCCAAATCTGGATATGAAATAGAATATTGAAATGATGAAATTCAAGGGAGTTCCATTTGTGTGTCATCATGTACTTACATTCGTATTTGATGTCGGGTAGACGGAAATCTTCTTTACTGAATTCAACTTCCATTTTCTGTTATGTATCCTTATTGTTATATCTAAAAAATTTAATAAATTAAACAAAAATCAGTGCTTGTACCCACTGAGCGTCAGCAAAGAATTTTTGAGAAATGTGTCATCCACTTGTTTACATTTTTGTGCATGCTTTCATGTGTCAAACTATGAACAGCTGTTGCCCGGCTACCAACATATGTTTGAAGATTTGCTTCAAATTTGTAATAGATTAACCATTTGAATGGATGACAGAATTCCGTTGCGAAATGTTTGAATAAAATTTTGACAGATCTGTAAATGAGTGAATTCTTTTATTTGGTTAATATGGAGAGTTATCTTTTTATGAATTTGTATTTGAATTGTTGAGCGGAGTACAAAAAAGAGACCCATGCTGCTGATTGGTCTCCACACTCAAGACCTTAATTACATCGAACATGTTTTATAAAACGGACTATTTAGCTTTTCAATCCTTTTGATTACACTTTAAACAAATGACAATTTGTCGTAAACCGCGTAATTTAGGCGTCAGCGTAAAGCAGAATTTAGTTATAAAGTAGAAAACATGAAGAATTGAGCCAGGTCATAGAAAAGGGATCAGAAGCCAAAGTCTCTCGTTCGAAGTCGTAACAATTTCGATCGAAATCAGTCTGAAGTTATATTAGGCAAGTTTTCCTGTGATTTTATTTTTATTAAAAAAATTCCTAAAAATAACTGTCTTGTATAAGAGGCAAGTTCAAAAAAGAACGATGAAAAGTGCCGCCAGCAAACTCGCCAAGTATAAAACAGGACTTATTTTACAATGACAAAACTAAAAAAAAACTGGTAGAAATGGCTATAATTAAGTCCAATTTGTTTTCAACCAAAATTGCAATTAATATTAATCTTAACGTATATTGATATTTTTAATCCTTTTCCACTTTAATCCCCTTGATAAAGATTTATTTGACATATATGCAATTTAAATCCACTGGGTTTACCAAGTCCGGTAATCTGTAAAATTAGCATCAAAAGAGCATACAGAAATTGGTTTCGATCGACAGTTTTTCGATATGGAACCAATCAAAAATATATAATGTCTTGATCAGCATAAAACTCCAATTTGAATTAGCTATGCCTTAATTGTGTCAAGACGATTTGTAATTGGAAAGTAAAATTTGGCATAGAACTTTTTTTTTTATCTGCAGCCATGACAAGTTCGAAGATGGATAATCCATAATATCGCATAGCCCCCATATATCTAATATTTTGGTAATATAATCCATAATTTTGAACGGAATTGTTTGAAATTTGGAACTTGAAGTTCAGAATTGTACTTGAATTATCTTTTCAGCACAAAAGTCCGCATTATCGTATACTGATACCTTGCTCTATTTAATGGAATCGTCTGGATTTTGATAGTTGTTGGAAAATTGTATGTATGGGCCCACATTTTTTATATCCCCCATATAGAGGTACCTTCCGATGTTTAAAATGTTGATGTTTTATAATTATATTCAAATTTTTATACCCTCAGTTATATGGCAAGAGAGGGTGTATACCATTTAATACGGCCAAAACGTGTCTCATCGAAATAACGGTTTGTCTCTTTAGACCAAATTTGTTTCTACCGACGTCTGTCTGTCCGGCTGGTGCGCACGATAACTCTCGAAGGGATTATCCGATTTAGTCCAAACTTAATACATTGGAATATTACTATCAAACTTAGAACGAGTTCGGAGATGGAAAATATCGGTCCACTCCATCACGTACCTCCCCCACAAAAGGTCGAAACACATTTTACTGCTAGGAGAAAGGAAGAAAGAGAAAGGATAATCTAATTTTGCTCCAACTTCGCAAATCCTAACATTTACATCAGTGCTAGGTCAGGTGCGAAAATGGGCAATATTGGTCCACACTATCGCGTACCTCCCCCCACAAAAGTCAAAATTTTGAATAATTATAACTTATATAAAATGTGATGTAAAAGTCAGTTTGTTTTCAAATTCCTCATATTACAATACTTTTATTAACCCAGGGCTTGGTATGAAGATGGAATATATCGGTCCACTCCTTTTGGTGCCTCCCCAATAAGGTGTCAAAATTTCGATAATCCTTGTAGCTCATAAAACGCGAAATAAAAAACTGATTTCATTCAGACTTGGTACATCTCAATATTTTCATCAACACAAGATTCCTTCTGGTACCTCCCCCACACAGGGTTCAAAATTTTGAAAAACAAAAAAAAAAGAGAAAAAGGCTCCCTTAATTTTTAATTTAGTTTATTTCGTCTTTTGATTGAGTATTATTAGAAAAAAGTATAAGCATACATTCGTAAGACTATTTAACAAAAAATCACCATCTCTCACATAAAATACAAACAACAAAAAACATAAATTATGCTAATAATAACAAACTAAAAGTAACAGTCGTTTCTTTTGAAATAGGCAACAATAGTGACTTGAACAAGAAAAAATCCTGTCTTTACGAAACAAAATATAAATAACAAATACGATTAACTAATGAACTGATGTAAGGGAAAATATCGAAATGATTCGTTGAAGATATCCGTAAATGCTGTGCTAACCAATTCATTGATAATTGGCTTAATGAAGGGTAAACCCAAGGGCCAAGCACTGTTTATGACTCCATCAGATACGTTGTCAAGGCGAGCACGACCCGGCGCCAAAACATCACCAACATGCATTCGCATGCCACCAATGCGATCCACCTCGACATGGATTTTCAATAGCGTACCAGGAGCTCCCAGGCGTCGGACACTTGTTGTTTGACTAGAAAGAGAGAAGGAAGACCAAATTTATGATTAAATAATAAAATTTTGAAAGATTACTTAATTTAACTTACCTGTAATCATATAATGTCATATTCCAAAATCCACTTCTCTTAATGAGTGTACCAAACACTTTGGCCGAAAACTCATACCATCCATTCAAACTTTTCTCCGGAAAATATTGCGAATAGATAATGCGATTTTGTTCAAAGTCCGAATGGAATTTGGTAACTTCCGATTGGGTCCAACCATATTCGGAGACATTGCGTAAAATTAACTTGAAACCCAATCCATTTTGATCTCCCCTCCGTAGTTCTACAAATGAGGCATGATGTGGATCGAATGGTTTCACATTGTATTCGGGAATGCCTGAAAGAAAAGCAAAACAGCATTAGATCATAGAAATAAAACAGAATCCCTTAGAGTGCTTACCTGTCGGAAAATACGCTCTCAAATCGTTGAATACATCTTTCATACAGAAATCATAATCATCGCTCTGTAAATGACATTTGCCTAAGAGTCGTGACATCTCTTCCCGTATCGAGGGTTGTTCAATGGCATTTGTGCTGCCTATGGTGATGCCACAAAATGCGATTAATGCTGTAACGTAGGCCAAGGCCATTGTTGTCGATTTGTGATGGCTGTTTTTGGAGATTGTCATTGTCGTTAATGACTGACTATTCTTTGTGTTCGCCTTTGTTATCTTATACCCTGCCCTTTTCCGTTTCCTTGAAGTAGCTATGAAGTAAAATGAAAAGATTTATAAGTACGCGAGTTTAATTCATGATTGGCAAGTAGTGAACAATTATATGAGGTCTACTGCTTCCTGTGTGTAGCGGAATGTAGTATTAATTAAAAGATGTTAAATGTTGGATATGATGTTGATTCTGAAGATTTATTCGTAAGCTTTGTTGGTTATATAGTTATTTTATTTATACACGCAGATCAATATCTGTAACATTTATACGAAACCGGTATTAGCGAGTTCTAGAAATACTAGTCAAAGTCCATTTTGAACTTATTCCATTTCCAAGTTACATTTCTATATATAAAGGAGTAGACGAGGGTCAGTCTTAGTGTAGGAGACAAGAATGGGGTTTTGGAAATTGGTACAAAATGATACGAAAAGTACTAAAATGCACTAAAAAATTAAATACTCTATATTGGACATACAGAATGAACTAGAAAACATGGAATACCTATAAAAATATTGGTGTATGTAAAATTTGAAGGAAATCGAAGATTTATATCCACTTTTATCAGATCTCTGGTTAATCAGTTTTCTGGTTAAGAGAAATATTTAGATATAGCAAGTTGTAAGGAATCACTGTCTGTTTTCTCAAGTTATGACAGATAAAAGTATTGAAAATTATGACTATTTGTGGATTAGATACCAGAAGTCCGTCGCAGATATATATCATCTTCAAATCAGATCATGCGTTAACAAAAATATTTGTGTGTAATTTGAGGAGTACAGGATGCTTATTTCGGATTTTATTATTGTTTTGGTAATTTAAAACTTTCACACTATGTGGGGGAGGTACCAGTAGGAATGGTCCGATCTCTACCATCTTTATAACAGATCTTGTGATGTTAAGAATATTAAGATGTTTCAAGTCTGCATTGAATCGGATGTTATATCCGTGTTTTATTAGCTTCATGAATATTCAAAATTTTGACCCTTGTGTTAATAAAAATATTGTGATGTGTGTAATTTGAAGAGAATCGGATGCTATTTTGACCCTTGTGGGGGAGATCCAGAAGAAAATTAATCTGTATGATTTGGAGGCAATCGCACTCCCACACCACACGTTATAAAGATCATAATAATTCGAAATTTTTACCCTTTGTGGGGGAGGTACTTGATGGAGTAAACCGATATTGTCTATTTTCGCATATGACACTGCATTTCTGTGCAGTAAACAGAAGGAGTGGACCGATATTGTCCACCTCCGAACTCGATCTAAGTTTGATAATGATATTACGATGTACCGAGTTTGGATCAAATCGGATACTCCCTTCGAGGGTTATCGTGGACGGATGGACGGAAATCGCTAGATCGACTCCAAATGTCCTCAAATGGATTTTGTCCAAAGAGACCTAGTCCTAGTTCAATGAGGGTATAATTATGAGAATCTAGGTAGTTTGTAAAATGCGTACTATGTGTGCAAACAGTACTAAATGGATACATTTGGAAGAGTTTGGTTTAGTGCTTGAATTCTGAAATCCGGTGTTACGGCAGCTGTTCATGCGTAGCCTGGACATATGGAAGTTGTTTCGAAAATGTATACTATAATTGTAAGAAAAGTACTAAATGGTACTAATTTCGGTATTGAGTACAGGGATATTGATAAAATTGTGAAATTTTATATTTAGATTATTGATGGCATCTGTGTTTATGATTTGGCGGTGGTTTGGTTTGGTTTATTTGTACGAAAATTACTATATGATATTAAATTTGGTATTGGGTCAAGGGATAGTGGTGGAATCCCGAAATTTGATATTGAGGTCTCTATTGGTATCTGAGATTAAATTATGGAAGTAATTTTGGAAGTGTGAATTAAATTTAACGAAAAGTACTTAATGGTACTAAATTTGATTTTGATTGAAGCGATAGGGCTGGATTCCTCAATTTTGCTACTCAAATCTATATTGGTATCTGAAATTGAGATATGGTGGTGGCTTCGGAAATGTGTATAATAATTGTACGAGAAGTACAAAATAGTTCCAAATTTGCTATTGGCTAAAGGAATAGATTTGAAATTTGATATAGAGGTTATTGTTGGCGTCTGTGGTAAAGAAATGGTCTTGGCTTTGGAAATGCGTACTATGATTGTTCGAAAAAAACTAAATGATACTAAATTTGTTCTTGGCCAAAAGGATGGCTGGAATTCTTAAATTTAATACTGAGTTCTCTCTTGGTACCTGGAAGTTGTTTTGGAAATATGTACTAAAATTGTTGGAAAATTACTAAGTTGTACTAATTTTGGTATTGGATAAAGGAAAATACTAAATGGTACTAATTTTGGACCACTTCTGGGGTCTAGGATAAAGCAATGTAGATTTTTTTTAGATATGCCTGCTAAATTTTACCAAATTTGTACTAAGCCAAGGGATAGGACTGAAGTTCTAAAATTTGATGTTTAGGTCACTGTTGTTTTATAGGGTTTTCATATGGAGACTTTGAAATGAAGTTCTAAAATTTGATGTTTAAGTCACTTTTGTTTTATAGGGTTTTCATATGGAGACTTTGAAATAGTTTTGAACAGAAAAATTGAATGTGGGGTCCATTTTACAATGGTTTTACTAATATCATCCTCGATAAACTACAAAATGAAAGACTTTGAAGACTTTTCGGTCTAAAAAGGAAAAATTTTCATATTATTCTTTCCGAAAAAGGGAAAACTTTAATAATATAAAAAATCTTGAAAGTCCGAAAATTTAGTACGATATATGAAGTTTTGATTAAAAGTGTTTGTCAAACTGAACAAATTTTGCCTTTTAAGTACTAAAAAGTCCTAACACTAACTGTTGGAATGAATCTAAAATTTTAAGGTGGACTTTTCTCTGACGACGTTGCGGACACTTGATCGTTATTATTATATAACGACTGATTTTAAAAAGCTATAGGATTTCATTTTTGAAGATTATGCAAATATCGACCGCAACTGTGCCTCCAATTGTCCATACGCTTAGTCCAATTTTGGCATACTCTTTCCAACATTTAGGCCGACATCTCAAGAATTATGCCTTCCAAAGCGTCAATTGAAGCGGACTCTTCTGAATTGACATGAGCTATAACATAGCTTAACAAAAAATTATCCAAAAGACGTTAAATCGACCTTTCGAACGTAAAAAAAATGTTCATAGAACTACCTTTCAATAAGTGGCAGAAACCGCGTTTCATGCAAGTCAAGCTCAAAACAAAATTGGATATAATCAAATCGTATCGCTCACTATTTACAGTTACATTTCTATTCACACCATTTATGAAGAAATACAGTCCAATGATGCCACTAGCCCATAAACCGCACCAACTCTGACTTTTTTAGACATTTAGAAATTGATAGCTTTATGATACATTGGTACTTCTGTCTGATCTCGACAATTCAGCTTATTTACGCACCATTGAGCCAAAATTAGCCTTGTGGTTAAACATTTTTCTTTTCTTGAACTTGCTTAACAGAGTACTCATTGGGAGTGTTGTTCGCTTATAAGACGATTCATGATTAAATTACAGACCAAATTGAAGCTGTTTAGCAGTGAAACAAAACATGTTTAAACCAGCGTTGCCAAACAGATAATAGCTAAAAAATTACCCTTTACATGATCAAACGGAAATGCATAGCTCACCTCAGAAAGTGTTTCCCGCTTCTTTATGTTGCAAACAAAGGTAGATAGATGATGAATGAAAATATTTTTTTTGTTCCTCCAAGTTCATCTAACGTTTGCCCCTCTGTCATTCGGAAAAGTCTATAAAATTGTCTCTTAATTAATTTTTTTGGAAACATCGTTGAGCTTTTGATATTTATCATCAAATATGTGAAGAAGATTATTTTGCTTATTAATTTAGACGCTGATGAGAGCATTCAAATTCAAGGTCATTTACGGCTCAGTTATATTTAACACATAACAATTACATTTTTTTGTTGATTCTCTAGTTTGTCTTTTTATTTGCAAAAGAAAAAAAGACTTAAGACACAAGCACTTATGGGTTTACCTCCACCAAAAAAATAAACAGAGCAGTAGTAGCAGTACTACAAGGCTATCAAGACACAATTACAAAACTATATTTATTGACGTTTGTTTTGGTGGATTTGTTTTTGGAGGTATTTTTTTGGGAGGCAAACTTGTTTTTGTATTTACAATTCAGTTCCCTAAATAAACATAAGAAGAGAAATAATTTTACATGCACTATTGAAGCATTACAATAACCTGTTGATGCTGTTCAATACAAAGGGATATAGCTCAATAATTATGTATACCTTCAGCCATATGGCTAGAGAGGGTATATATATCAATTGATACGGCCAAAACGTGTCACATTGAAATAACGAACATAGGGTCTTAGGTCTCTTTGGACCAAATCCGTCTCAGGGCATATGGAGCCGATCTAGTGATTTCCGTCCGTCTGTCTATCTGTCTGGATGGTGGCGCGCACGACAACTCTCGAAGGGAGTATCCGATTTGATCCAAACTTGGTACATCGTAATATAATTGTCAAACCTAGACCGAGTTCGGAGATGGGCAATATCTCCCATCTGGTACCTCCCACACAAAATGTCAACAGCTTCAAAGAAAATAATTTAATGCACAAAAACAGAAACGATAATCTGATTTTGTTCCAACTTTGCAAATCCTAATATTAGCATCTGTCAGGTGCGAAAATTATTATTGTCCAACTTAATTAAGTACCTTTACATTTTGAATAAATATTACTCTCATAAAATGTGATATAAGTGTCGAATTATTTCCAAATTACACATATCACAATATTTTTATTAATCCAAAGTCTGGTGTAAAATTGGGATATATCGGCCCACTCCTTTTGGTGCTTCCCACACAAAGGGTCAACAATTTTGAATATTTATAAAGCCCACAAAACACGAAATTAACATCCGATTCCATTCAGACTTGGTACATCTCAATATTTCCATAAACAAAAGATTTGTTATAAAGATGGTAGAGATCGGACCATTCGGACCTCAGGCAAAGGGTAAAAGTTTTGAATAACTAAAACTAATATAAAATCCGAAATAAGCATCTGGTTCTCTTCTAATTACACACATCACAATATTTTTGTTAACCCAAGGTCAGGTGTGAAATTGGGGTATATCGGTCTACTACGACAAAATTTAGAATATTCACGAAGCTCATAAACACAAAATTAATATCCGATTTCATTTAGACTTGACACATCTCAGTATATCCATAAACACAAGATCTGTTATAAAGATGGTCGAGATCGGACAATTCCTTCTGGCACCTCTCCCACAAAGGGTCAAAGTTTTGAATAGACAAAACGCTCATAAGATCCGAAATAAGCATCCGGTCCTCTTCAAATTATACACATCACAATATTTTTATTAACTTAAAGTCTGGTGTGAAGATGAAATATATCGGTACACTTCTTCTAGTACCTCCCCCACAAAGGGTAAATGTTTTGAATAAACAAAACTAATATAAAATCCGAAATAAGCATCCGGTTCTCTTCAAATTACACACATCACAATTTTTGTACTAACCCAAGATCTGCTGTGAAGATGGGATATATTGGTTTACTTATTCTGGTACCTCCCTCGCGAAGGGTCAAAATGTTGAGTATCCATGATTAAGATCCGATTCCATTCAGACTTGGTACACTTCAATATTTCCTTCAACACAAGTTCTGTTAAAACAAGTAAAAAAGTATCGGTATATATATATAAGAAAATCTAACATTTATATCCAATTTATAGGAAATCATAAAATCCATATTCATCTCAGGATTCTGGATGAGAGACATATATTTAGATATAGCAAGTTGTAAAGAATCGCTGAGTTGTTTTACAATTTATGACAGATAAAAGTATTTAAAAATTTTGTCACTTTGTGGGTGAGGTACCGGAAAGGGTTCTACCATCTTTATAACAGACATTGTGTTGATGGAAATATTGAGATGTACCATGTCTGTAATGGAATCGGATGTTGATTTCACGAGACCTAGAACTGACGCAAATATTAGAATTTGCAAAATTAGAGCAAAATTAGATTATTGCTTCATTTCTGGGCAGAAAATATTTTTTTGCAAATTTCGACCATTTGTGGCGGAGGTACCCGAAGGTGTGTACCGATTTTGCCCATCTTAACACCAGACCTTGGGTTAATATAAATATTGGGATGTGCGAAATTTGAAGAGTATCGGACTCTTACATCACATTTTATGAGAGTTGTAATTATTCACATTTTTGACCATTTGTGGGGGAGGTACTTGAGTGGGCCGATATTGCACTGGCGCAAATATTAGGATATGCAAAGTTGGAGCAAAATCGGATTATATATTATATTTTTTGAAAATTTCGAACTTTTGTGGGGGAGGTACCAGAAGGAGTGGACCGATATTGCTCATCTCCGAACTCGATCTAAGTTTGACAAAAATTTTACGTTGTACCAATTTTGGATCATCAAATACTTCCTATGAGAGTTATCGTACGCCCCAGCCAGACAGACAGACGGACGGACGGACATCGCTAGATCGACTCCAAATGTTTTGAAACGGATTTGGTCCAAAGAGACCTAGGGTCTATAACCGTTATTTCGGCTAGGCACGTTTTGACCGTATCAAATTGTATATATCCTCTGTAGCCTGAGGCTGAGGGTGTAAAAATGGTAGAGATCGGACAATTTCTTCTCCCCCACATAGGGTTCAAGATTTTTGAAAAACCAAACGCTCGAAGAAGGCGAAATAAGCATTCAAATCTCTTCAAATTTCGCACATCCAAACATTTTTGCTAACACAAGATCTGTTGTGAAGAACCCCTTTTGGTACCTCACTCACAAAGGGTCACTATTTTCAATACTTGTATTTGTCATAACTTGCGAAACATATTGGCAATTCTTTACTACTTGCTGTATCTAAATATTTCTCTTAACCAGAAACCTGAGATGAATATGGAATTAATGATTTCCCGTAAATTCGATATAAATGTTCGAATTTTCTTTTCTTGCCCATATCAATATTTTTTATGTGTTAGATGAAGCATGAAAATGAAATACTTCGGTCGACTGTATCTGGTACCTCAAACACATTTTAACATTTTCTAAAAATTATCACATGTCTCATAAAAGGCGATGGAAGTAATCAGTATAGTCCAAACCTGACACATTGTTATATTTATATTATATTTATTTAGGTCCGATACAAAATGAACAATATTGGCCCATTCCTTCCAAACCTGACACAAAAACCACTTGTTAGTAATAACATTTAAATATTATTAACTACTTTAGGTAATTTTATTGCTTTCAAAATCCCAAGACAAGGCACACTCTATTTACTCAGCTATATTCCAGTGTATCTTTTTTTCTTTTTGACTCCAAAACAATGTTAAATTGCACTCGAACTTAGGAAATAACGCACACGCAAGCTGCATTTAACACATCTTACGAAATGGCGCAAGACAATAATTTTGCACAAAATTTTACACAATTACTTAAATAATTGCAAAATAGTTTTTATTTATTTATATCTCTGCTTCACTGTTAACTTTTAAATTATAAATTATGCATTGCATTTAATGCTGAAATTGTTTGATTATTTTTCTTATTAGATATTCTTTCCATTTTTTAGGCTCTTCACCAATATTTGTATAGGTAATTTACAAATTTATTTACATCGAATTGATTGGGATTTCTGCACCGAACCGACAATTGAACTACTCGCTTTGAAGTCTTGGCAAAAACTACACCACCGTGCGGTGGCTAAGTTGAGCCAATGGGCTCCTGTTGTGTACTCAAAACCAATAACAATGCAAATGTAAACAAAACTTGTACAACAACTCTGGTAAACTTTATTTAGCAACAGCTGGAAAAATCTCCACTCCCCACAGCAGCGATGGTTATGGTTATTAAACGGCTGTATGTGGTTATGTACTAAATTTGGTAATTGTGGTTGTAAATCCGTAATGTTAACATTTTTCAAAATGTTATACCCTACACCTGCACAGTGTATGAATGAATTTGATACCACTTTGATGCCAAAAAGTTTCTCTGTGCCAAAATAAACCGCAAGGAAGGGACGAAAATCGGGAAAAACCGACTTTGTGATACTCTACACCAGCCTATTCCACCTAGCATTACCCTCAGGTTCACATGTTCACACATGTTCTGGTGGATATACACTTAAGCCAGGTGGTTGAAATACCTAGTAATAAAAGATTCGTTTTTATCTCATTAGATTGGCCCCCCGAAAAATTTTTGTGGATTTCCCTACGCCTTAATTGTTCCATATGACATTTTTTGCCCATTTCTTTAACTCTAAACGTGACGCGTTTAGCGGCAATAGCTTGTCTAAGTTGACTGTTGTTAATTCCCTGCCTGTTTTGGCGAGAGAGTTCGCTATCTCGTTACCTCTAACTCCGACATGATATGGAACCCATATAATGCGTACTGGACCGTGTTGAGAATAGTTGTTGATTAAGTTTATACATTCCAAAACAGCGTTTGAATTAACTGTTTTGGACGTTAAGACGTTTACGGTAGCCGGTCTCGTGTAAGTATCAGGTCAGTTCAGCCCGGACCTCCGGTTGGATGATCATATTATGATAGGGCAAATGGAAAGATATTACGGTGTTTGGTTCTTCAACAAAAAGTCCCAGTCCCGCTCTCCCCTCTAGCACTGAGCCATCTGTATAACAACAGTTTCCAGTCGACATCTGCTACCTTTACTTATCCACTCGTCGCTATTAGCCTTATTGCCGTGACGGCCGCCTCGTACCGTATCTGAATATCTATTAGGTGTATACATAGAATTGTCCCTAAAGCCCTAGTTGGTGTTGTCCTCATTGCACCGCAAATGCTTAAGCTGCACATTCGGCGTAATATTTTGGCATTGCATTTTTTATTCATTGCTGTCCACCAGAGTACAGATACGTATGTTAAAACAGGTCTAATTACGCTTTTGAATAGTCAGTGTGTCATCTTTGGATTGAAACCCCGTTTTGACCCTATAGCCCTTTTGCACGTTGCCCAGCTTTGTTTGCTCTTTCTTGGATGTGGTCTTCCCAATTAAGTTTTCTATCCATAATCACACCTAGATATTTAACCTTATTGGAAATCTTGATTGTCTTGCTCAGGAAGACTGGTTCATCGATGTGCCCCAGTTTTCTTTTCCTAGTGAAAACATATCTCAGTTTTTCCGGGTTAACGTTAAGACCCCTTAACAGAAAGTTTTGACATTACTTTTTGTTCGGAAAATCTTTTAAACGAGATTAAGGATTGGAGATTCTTATTACAGTCTCCTTTGTGAGGTCCTTGACTTGGTTCTTCCGGATCACTTGAAGGTGGGAAGCTCTTTTTCTGCGCCTTCGTAGTGTTTGGTTTCTCAGGAAACTTGATCCTCTTTCCCCACTCCACTGGAGGGGGAGGAATACTCGTAGCCCCCTTTGAAGCATCCTGAAACTGCGTTCCTGCTTCCTTACATTTCGCCCAGACAACTTTGTTGGTTGTGAGCTTCGCCAAGCTATCGCCCACTTCCTCTATCGTTTTGTGCGTCTCCTCCTTTGTTGGGATTCGCAAAATGGTAGTATTTCTGCTGCTGCTGTCAGTTTCGGAGTCTGAAGCACTACCTGACGTTGAAGGCTGGATCGAGCGTACGCTTCTCAAGAGTTCCTCGGACGCTATGTCTTTACTTTTGCTCAAAGGCTGTGTGCTTGTAGCAATACCTTCGACCACATATGCCAATGCACCCACATTTCCGGGAGATATTTGCACGATTGTTGGATAACGGCAAAGTGTGACTCGTGGCTGGATCACAAGCACCCGCCGGTACTGGGTAATTTAGGCCCTACACCGTAACTTTTTTCTCTTTTGGTTTTCATTCCATTTTTGTTTTAGGGGAACACCATAGTCTGTTTCTGGCAGGGAAAATCCGAAGATCCCCAGAGACGGGTAATCACACTATTCCGCTCCAATATGTCGTAAAAAGACGCCCTAGTTCAAGCAAAATAGTGAGATCATCAATATCCGTCGGTGGGGACGCGCCTGGTAGGAGAACTGACAAACACTCTCAGGAGCATTACCCTTAACCTACTCAAGCAATGGTAGAACGCAAAAGCAGAACTATGGTACAATAAAAAGGTAAGGTAGAGCAACCAGCTGGTTACAATTTCTTTTCTTAGTGTGCCCGACTTCTGCCAATTTTGGATCTGTTCCAGAACTATATGAATGTAAAAGGTTGTAAAATAAAAAAACAGAATATTTTCAAAATCAATGATTGAAAGAAACATTCATTGTGGACTACATAGAACATAGTATGAAAAGCACTGCTTAAATGCATTCTAGGCTTTGCTTATGTTTTTTTCATATTGTAAATTTAAATATTTTGCTGCTTTTATTGACAAATCCAACATTGTATGTTTATTAATTTTGGAAATGATCTTCAATTTAAAACAAGTTAGAATACTTTGAAAAAGATAATTATATTAATATATTTGAAATATTATATTAATATTTTTTAATAAAATAACTTATTTTATAACAATCGATTGTGAATGTGTAAATGATTGCTTGCAAAAGGTCAATGCACTTACCAGCTTTTCATATGAATAACGAAAGTGAAAGACACAAACATATAAAAAACTGAATAACGAATTAAATAATAATATAATAACCCCGAATGTTTCAACCCGAATTTTGTATCTGAATTTTTGTATAACAAATTCTGGAATTATAATTATTTTTATTTTTTTTTTTTTTTTGTAATTTTATTATTGAGATATATTTATGGGTAATTTTGGTAATATTTAACATTTTTGTGATTAAATTTAATTACATTTTGAACAATTTTAATATATAGTTTTAATTGATTTTTTTCGATTATCTTTGGCAAAATATTAATTGGCCAACTTTTTAAGTCTGATTATCTATATATATAAAAATCAATTTTTGTTTGTTGGTAACGGAATCAGTTGGAAACGGCTGGGCCGATTTGCATAATTTTTTGTACAAACGTTCGTCATACCCCGAGTTAGGTTTTTAAAGAAAAAAATATTGACCACGCCTCCTTTTACGCCCACTATTACGATTTATCTAAAATCCTTATATATGCCAAAATAGTGAAGATATCGGTTTGAGAATTATTACACGAGATGCTGTTGGCTTTCCATCCAACCCTAAGTACTTATTTAGGGGCTGAGGATCGCGCCTACTTTTAACTCTATCTCTCTATATGTAAAAGAAAGTTGTGTTAGTTACTACTCTTATAACATAAAGACCGCCGGTCTGATTTTAACGATTTAGACAAATTCGGAATTGCCTCGTGGCAGAAAGGAATAAAATCCAAAAAAATCGCGTAAAAATGTGAAATTTGAACATTTTCATTTTGACTTTTAAAATGTACAATAGTAATGTTTTATATTGTATATTTTTTCCATTTTGACTTACTATTTTCGAATGTACATTTGTAGTGTTTTTTTTTTTTTTTGAATTCTAATATGATGTGTAGGTTTTTTTGGGTAGTATAAAGCCACAATGGATAAAACTGTTATTTATAGATTTTATGTATTTATTCGTAATACCCAATAAATACATAAAATCTATAAATAAAAATTTTATCCGTTGTTGCTAAATTCTACGTAAATTCTAGAATCGGGAAAAATCGACAATTTTTCAATGGAATCGAATTTAAAAATAATAGTACATTCTACCGACAAACTTAGTAAGGACCTTTAAAAATTTGCCGCAAAAAAATTCAGCGAATTATTTTTCTTTTTTCTATATTGAACTGTACATTTTTTTGGTTTGAATTCTGAATGAATAATATTAAAAATGAAATGAGGGTGCAGTACGATGTTAAATGCTTTCTACTCCAGGACCTACATCGTGCTTCAGCTGGAAGATGCGAACACATCTAAACAAACAAAAATGATCAAAGAAGCGTTATGAGGTTAATTTCAAAAGTGGACCTTCTTCTTTCATATGACAATAAATTGTCAAATGAGAACACAAAATGCAAAATACATTGGGACTGTAATCAGTCAAATACCGACTATAAAGAACGCAAAATAGAAATTCTACCTAAACATTCAAGATACCTTTAATCGCTTTGGCAGGTCATGATATGGATCATAACCCCTGATAACGGAACAACCCGATTGTAAGTATATTCTACATTTTAACCATATTTTTCGTACTAATTTTAGCTTATGTTGATAATTTAAGAAGAAATCATCTTTGCAAAAAATGATCACGTGATCATGATTTAATGTATTTTCGGGGTCTTGGCCACTTTTTTCATTTTTTGGCCCTTATTTGACATCTTTGTTTCTAAGGGGGAAGAAAACCTCTTCTTATAAATTTTTATTTTTCGGAAAAGTGCGCATCTTAGTCTTGAGGCTACCTGGGGTAAAAAACACTGGGGTAGAAAATCATCTTACAGATAATTACCCTCATAGGAATTTATTTAAGTATAGTCCCCACATTAGAATACCCCCAAGTCCACTTTCCCAACCAATGTGTGGTCAGAAACGAAAATTTGGTATTCTATTGAATTTGTATCCCCCAAGAGAATATTGGTTGGGATGTAGATTTGGGATGTACGTCTATATGAAATAAACTCTGAAATGTCAATCTGGGACTCATTCAGTCGGAAATTGTGGCAGAAACATGAAAAAAATAAGAAATTATGAAGTAACTTTATTGGATCTTCACCGCACAATTTAAATGACAAACAATTAATGCCCATCTTACGGTAA